GTGTGTGTGTGTGTGTGTGTGCACAGATTTACTATTGTGTGTGTGTGTTTGTGTGTGTGTGTGTATATATATATATATGTGTGTGTGTGTGTTTGTCTGTGTGTGTGTGTGTTTGTCTGTCTTTGTGTGTGTGTGTGTTTGTGTGTGTGTGTGTTTGTCTGTGTGTGTGTGTGTGTGTGTGTGTGTGTGTGTGTGTTTGTGTGTTTGTGTCTGTGTGTGTGTGTGTGTGCCGTGAGCTCCACCTCTGCCCTGATGTTTCTCATACCCGTGTCCGAGTCCCCCCGCAGACTCCTCTTGACCCTGGTGGTCTCCTGTGCGCTGCTGCAGAGCTCCATGCGGCTGAAGTCCACCGTGAACATCTCTCCGTCCTGCTGGAACTGGAAGCTCTTCTGCTGGCGGTGGAAGGCCAGCTCCATGTCGTAGCTGACGGAGGGATCCAGCGGCGTCCAGCGTTCTCCTGTGAGCTTCTCCCAGCTCAGAGTGTCCCGCAGCCGCTGCACCGCCGCCCCGCGCGCCGCCCGCTCCTGCGCCTCCTGCAGCAGCAGGCTGATCTTCAGCGCGGCCTCCAGCACCTCCTCCCTCCTGCCCGACACCGTCAGCTGCTCCAGACTCTCCATCTGCACTCTGACCTGCCCGGCCCGGCTCAGCTTCACCACGGCCTCGGCGTCACTCTCCGTCAGGTCTGCGATGTGTCTGGACTGAAGATCTTTGCTCTCGCTCTCCTCCGACAGCAGGTCATCCAGCAGACTCTTCACCTCCGCCAGCTGTGTTCCGGACGTCCCGTACACCTCCATCTCCATCACAGGGAACGACACCGCAGCCGATTCCCTCGCTAGACACAGAGCCGGCAGCGGTTTGACCTTGACCTGACCTGCTGCTCACAGTATACAGGTTCATTAGCACTCATCATGCGGACACACTCCGATACAGAGCTACATCAGCGTTTCTCAATCCCGGGTCGGTTCAGTGCCTCACTCCACTGCTCTGCACGGTCATGCTTCTCTTCTCAGATTACACCATCATCATTATTATTTCCAGGTTAGGCCATTATTGTCTAGTAAAGTCTTGACATGACTTGTTCAAGCCAGGCTCATTCTGAAAGTGTCGCCCCGTGGACGTTTCTGGAAACTGCGAAATATGTCGCGGGAGGTTTGTATTTTGGCAGTTTTGTTTTCGCATATCCGTGAGAGGCCGTCTGATTTTTGCCAAGTTTTCGAGTTTCACCACATTCTCACCCTGTTGTCTTACCTAATTTCTGGAACCGCTCTTCCCAGACTGGAACCAGGATTGTGGTCGTTGTTGTGGTCAGCTTCTCTCTGCGTCTCAAGTCCGCCGACGTACCACAACGAGCTAACTGGACAGAGTGGGTGCGGCGGGAAAGCCCTCCACATGGAGGTAAGTGGTCAGCCGTTAATCGCGAAAAGGAACGACGTCATACCACCCCGTATCGTCCGCTTACAAATGAAATGCAGCCATACACACCTCCGGCTACACAATTCGCGGTCTCCAGAAATGTCCCCGGGACAACGCTTTCAGAATGAGCCTATGTTGGAGGTGTTTCGAGTCAGACATAAGCAAAATTTTGACTTGAGACTCGCTTGACGAATGTTCAAATAAAGACTCTACTTGAGTTGGACCTGACATGGACCGCAAGAATTCAAACGTCTATAATTGTAAGATTCGTTGACTTTACATGGTAATTCCGGAGATCACTCATCAGTTGGCTGAGGTGCCTCCACAGTCGATCACCTTCATTTGTCTGGATCAGGTGTGTTTAATTAGCGAGACGTGTGAGGTAGTTAGTGTACGGCGGCTCGAGGGCCGGGATTGAGAAACTCTGTTCCTGCAGTGAAACGCACCTGACACCATCATCCTCCTGCAGCTCCTCACGGCCTTCTGGAAGTCGGGCAGCAGTTTCGGCTGGAAGATCACGATGTGGACACGCTTCAGATGTTTGGGCGAGTCCTTCACGAAGTCAGCCAGAGCTGTGGTCATTGCGTCAGCGACTGCGGCTGCGGGCAGATGTCCAGCTCCTGAGGGACAGTCAGTGGGTCAGCACCGTCTTCATCTGGGACACTGATGTGTGTTTCTGCACAGATGAACTCACCTGTTCCCAGAGCCGGGAACGAGACCGACCGGATGTGGTTCTCCTCACAGGTCTTCAGCACTTTAGCCATGGAGCTGCGGATGCCCGTCCTGCTGGTCTGTCCAACCATGTGGACGATGTGTGTGCAGTTGGTCAGGTTTCCAGCTCTGGTCAGGACCACACCGTCCTCAGGCTGAGGCGCTGCACATTCACACGGACATGCAGGAATAATTCAGAGTGAGCTTCCACATGAACACACACACTGATGACTGCAGACTGACGGTTTACCTTTGGCTTTACACTCCTTGACCACTGTTGGTCCAGATGCTTTGAGAATCGCACCTGAGACACCTGTGCAGGAGGACACACACTCACTTCAGCAGGAGCAGAACATTCATCATGGATAAACAGAAGCTCAGTTGTGCTGAGCAGAGTCTGCAGTGGTGTAATGAACAGAGTCTACAACACATGAATGACCTGAGCTGAGGTTGAGGCTTGTGTTGGTGCTGTTGACCACGGCCTCCACCTTCACCTTGGTGATGTCTCCAGAGGACACCCTGATGGTCAGCGGGCCCAGAAACACCTCCACTGCCTCTGCTGATCAAACGCCAACACTTAAAGGGCATCTGTCATCAATATGTTGATATTTTGGAAGCAGTTTGGACAGACGTGTGTGTAGTATAACACTGCATTACCGTCAGCTTCTGGATCAGATGAGGAGCTGCAGTCCTCTTCATCTTCATTGTCTTCTTCAGCTCTGCTGGTCTAGTTGTGTGTGTGTGTGTGTGTGTGTGTGTGTGTTGTGGATGTCAGTGTGCAAAGAAATCAACACTGTGAGTTGCTGGATGTTTAAGAGGTTCAGAAGTGGTTAATGTTAAGTGTGTGTGTCCTCTACCTCTGCGTTTGCTCTCCAGGTTTTGAGGCCATTCAGGAACTCCTGCAAGATGTTGTCGCGGTCGATCACGATGTAGATGAGCTTGACCACCGATGAGGTGCTTTTAGTCAGGTGATCCGCAAAGCCCTGCAGCATCGCAGTGGCCGCATCTACAGCTTGAACACCTCCACCTCCTGGAGAAACACACACACGCACACACACACACATTGGTGTTTGTGGTTTATGAGGACTCTCCATCAGTGTAATGTACTTTAAACAGTAAAAACACTGATTATACGGCCCTCTCCTGAACCAACCCTCACAGCACACCTAATACTGAATCTGAAAGGCCTGATTAAGGATGATTTTTAAGTGTTTTGAATTACGAGGCTGGTGTAGGAGTTTGAGTCCCTGAGAGATGGTAAGAGCTATGTTGTCAGGGCCTAATGCCGCTGGTAGGGTCTCCCAAGGCAAAAAGGTCTTACATGACAGGTCAGACTAATTGTGGTTAAAATACCCCTTATGAGTGCTATGATGTGCTTATCACAGTTTGTCCATAAACAAACACCATGTCCGAGCATAAGGGTGCACATGGCACCAGGACACCTCATGGCGACTTTGTGGTCATGTCATCTGATCTCCAACCATATGTCTTGGACACTCGAGTAAGTAGAGGGCCAGAGCTTTCAGGTGATCCCCACCTGGTGGTGAGTTGGATCCACTGGCAGGGGAGGAAGCCAGACAGACCTGGCAGGCCCAAACATATTGTGAGGGTCCTCTGGGAACATATGGCTGAACCAGATGTCGGAGGGATCGGCCTCAAAGAGATTCTGGGGCCCCAGGAGGGGAAAGCAGTTCCACACCAGCACTGTTTACAGTAGAATTGGGGAGCTGCTGACCTGGATGGGGGATATTTTCAGACAGTGGAAGAAATACTTTGACCATCTCCTTAATACCACTAATATACCTTCCATTGAGGAAACAGAGATAGGTGATGCAGGGGTGGATTCACCCGTCACCCAGGCTGAATTCCCTGATGTAAAAATAAGACAGGTTTGTAAGCTCCACAGTGGCAGAGCTGCGGTGGGTGCAGGAGATACACACTGTGTTCCTCAGGTCTTGGGATGTTTTGGGGCTGTCTTGGCTGACATGTCTCTACAATATCGCATGGAGATCATGGATAGTACCTCTGTACTGGGCAACTAGGGTGATGGTTCTCTTTTTTAAGAAGAGGGAATGGAGGCTGTGTTTCTAACTATGGGCAGGGCGGGCGCGTCCATAGAGGCGACCTAGGCGGCCACCTAGGGCGGCAGAATACAGAGGGCGGCGTCCCCAACACAACCCTCACCTCTCCGCCCCTCAGTTATATCCGCATCTAGGGCGGCGTCCGAGACACTACCCTCACGACCCGCGCCCTCAGTTAAATCCGCGTCTAGGGCGGCAAAATAGAGAGGGCGGCGGCGTCCGTGAAAGCTCCCTCGACACCCCCCCTCGCTTTCACTTTAGGGTTGAGGGCGGCATAACCATCCTTTGCCTAGAGCGGCAGTTCAGCTTGCTCCGGCCCTGACTATGGGGGATCACACTCCTCAGCCTCGCTGGAAGAGTCTATGCCAGGGTACTGGGGAGGATCCGGTCAAACAATACAGGAGGAACAATGCAGATTTAATCCAGCCTGTGGAACACTGGACCAGCTCTAAGCCCTCACCAGGGTGCTTGAGGGTTCATGGGAGTATGTTAAATCAGTCCACCAGTGTTTCGTGGACTAAAAGAAGGCACTCGAACGTGTCCCTAGTGGCATTCTGTGAGGAGTGCTCTGGTATGGGGTCAGAGTCATTCTGTTAAGGGCTGTCTGTTTTGGTTTGCATTGCTGCAATGTCAGACCTGAACCTTAAACATGATGGAATGGTTTGCTGCTGAGTGTGATGTGGCTGGGATGAAGATCAGCACCTTCCAGTCCGGGGCCAAGGTGCTCCACCAGAGAAAGGTGTCTTTCAGGTTGGAGGAGAGTCCTTAACTCAGGTGGAGGAGTTGAAGTATATTGAGGGTTTTATTCATGAGTGAAGGAAGAATGGAATGTGACACTGACAGGCAGATTGCTGCAGGAGTAATACAGTCGATGTACCGGTCCGTCTTCATTCCTACTCTCACCTTTGGGAAAGGACTCGAAAAGAAACGAAAGATCTCAGATACAAGCAGCTGAAATGGCAGGGCACACCCTTATAGATAGGGTGAAGAGCTCTGTAACCCAGGAGGAGCTCAGAGTAGAGCTGCTGCTTCCCCACATCCCGAGCAGCAGCTGAGGGGCTCGGCCATCTGATTCAGACACCTCCTGGACGCCTACCTAGGGAGATGTTCCAGGCTTGTCCAACTGGGAGGAGGCCTCGGGGAGATCCAGGACACGCTGGAGGGACTATGTCTCTCAGCTTGCTGGGAAAGCATCTGGATCCCCCTGGAGAACGTGTCTAGGAGAGGGAAGTCTGCTGAGCTCTGCTCTGATGAGACTGCTGCCCCCGCAACCCATCCCCAGATAAGCAGAAGAAAATGAATGAATGAATTACAAAGACACAAGACACGTCCTCATAAACTACCTGAATGTAGTAATAGCAGAATCCTGCCCATGACATCATTTCTGTCATCACACACACACACACACACACACACACACACACACACACACACACAGATGTGCTGTGTACCAGTGCCAATGGCCGGGAAGGAGACGGTGGTGATCTGCTTCTCCTCGCAGCGCTCCAGAACCTTCCTCACGCGTGTCCGGCTCTCTGCGGCAGAGTGTGGGCCAAGCATGTGGAGGATCAGGTCACAGTGCAGGAGTCCAGCGGCAGTCACTGCGGCGTCATCACCCTGCAGAGGGCCTGGACACACACACACACACACACACACACATCATCTATTCATAAATACTGAATGAATGAATGCATTTATACAGTGCTGCACTGTAACATCCTGTCCTAACAACACACAACACAACAAGACACATTTAGAAACATTTAAACACCAGCCGCTGCACTGTCAACCAAAAGGTAAAGGCTTTTACTCTACTGCATACATATTAAAGCTCTTTAAAGATGCCATGTACTGCATTAGCTCAATAAGGTAAAATGTTCTGATGTCTACATAGCAGGTACATGGCTTCAGTAGGCTAAAAACCCACAGCATGATGTATGCTGAACAAGCAAAGGGAATAGAAGCCGAGTTAAATCTCCTTAATCTATTAGGTGAAGGTTTATTTAACCTACATGAAGTAAGCCAGCTCTCTAATAAAAGTCGATCAGAGTAACGCTAACTTCTTTGTCTCATGAGACTTGTTATAATTAGTCTAAATCATAATTGAACTTGACAAAAGAGACTGATAGAGATGCTTTGTGTTGTGCTTTTAAGCTGTGATATCAGCGAAAACACAGTCAGTAATATCAGCCTGTGCATGAACAGATGACAGCTGAGCTGAGTGACATGATTCAGCATCTACATGTAAAACATGCACATCAATTTCACTATAAACATGATATATATTAGCAAAAGACACCGTTAAACACACTGTTCACCTCTTCAGGGTGGAGCTGAATGAATGTAGAATCCGTATATCCTGCATTTTGTGTCTCAAACGCCTGTCTGTACAACGTGAGTCTGAACAAGTCTGCAGTTTTTGCAGAGTAACACATAGTAAACACTCTGAGCCTTGTATTTTCAAAATAAAAGCCCCGCATGCATGGTAAGTTAAATATAAGCTTATTAAATTTAGCTCTTATGAGTATAGGATCACTGTTGTCTCACTGGGAAATGTTGTGGTTTATTAAACACCGCCTGAGCTGTGAATCCCAGAGCTGCCTATCAGTCTGTGTTCTCCTGATAATGTGGATGGTCATCTCGTCTGGATGAACAACCTAAAGTACTTGATGCAAATGATGAGGGCGTGGCCTGTGAGTCATGCAACAGTCTGCTGTGCGTTCTGATTGGCCTGTTGTGTTGTAACTAATTTACATGAGAACAGGGAAACCATGGTGTATGAGGCTCACAGTGTGGCCATCTCCATACACTGATCTCTGTATATGATTATATTTATAATATATATATTATATAGTAAATATTTGCATATAATTAAGAGTTGTTTTTCTTCATTTCTGCTGTCACACCATAGGCTGTTTCTAAGGTATAGTTCAGTAAAATCTAAACATTTCAAATAAAGTTACTGAGCCCCGCTATTTCCTCCTTCATCAGTATATGACCATTTGTATACAAATATAAAACATAATCTTTGAAAATGGAAATTAAATATCATTAAAAGTGTTTGTTGTGTATCTGTCCGCCACCCTTACATGAACTGTCTTGTTGTCCTGTTCACTACTGTTAGAGTAAATAAAGCTGGCGGGTGGACGGTCGCTCTCTGGTTATTAATGTAGTTTATTATTGTTTACCGTGTTTTCGACACTCCTGCTCCACAGACGCTCCCGCTGCTTTAAATATGGCACCTGAAACACCTGAAACAGATCTCCAGGTGAGTCCCGCCGTGTGTTTGCTGTAATATATGGCTTATTTTAGAGTAAATGTGGGTGAATTGTGGACCTCCTCTCCGACTCATGTCTCTGTTGGTGGTGTTGACGATTCCTCGCACGCTTTCAGTCGTGATGCTGCCCTTCCTCACCTCGATTGTGGTATTTCTGATTTTGACTAGACAGAAACAGAGCATGTAGTACGTGAATATTGATGGCTTATTTTGAACAGCAGAGGGCTGTTAGTGATGAATAAGCATGAAAATGTCCAGACCTTGATTCTCGGGCATCTTGCCGTGTGTGGGCTGCAAATAAACAAGTGCATTTCATTTTAGAACAGTAAAAAGGCCATTAGAGAGGTTGTGGTCGGGTCACTATTAACCTGGTTCCACTCTTTAAAGCAGTGGCGAAAGGCCTGGAAGGTGTCCTGCTGCAGGGCCAGCACAGTGATTCTGCTGAGGGTGGAGGAGTTGGGCTCCGTCAGGTGTGTCTGCAGCGCCGTCAGCATCGCCCGCATCGAGTCTCTGGGGCTGAAGCCTCCGCGCCCTGCAGAACACCACATTACTGACTCTGTCAAAACTATCGAGTTACCAATCAGTACTGACATGTCCAAAACATCCATTCCCATTTCAACAGAGATGACTGTGATTGGCCATGAGGGTCATCAGTTCACCGCACTTCACAGAGTGCTAACGCAGATAGACACACACACACACACACACACACACACACACTGGAACATTTTAAAGCCATGAAGATTAGTGGATTCATCAGCGGATCGCTTGTATGTCAGCTCATAAACAGAGCAGCTGATCTTCATAGCTTAATAACGCTCCAGTGCCGCTGTGTCTGAGTCTGCACTTGCTGAAGAGCGGTGAACTGATGACCTTTACGGCCAATCAATCACTGCTGTTGAGCATGTGAACACAACGGCCAGTCAACGGCCTATAAGAATGCGCTCAACAATGATCAAACCGATACTTTGGACAACACTAGTGTGTGAGTGTGAGTGTCAGTGTGTTAATGTCGTGCCTGTTCCGATAGCAGGAATAGCGAGACTCGTGGCCTGTTTTTCCTCACAGAGGTTCAGGATTTTCCCCAGAGAGTGTGTGATGTCTGTGATGTTCTCCGGTCCAACCATCTGAGCAATGCTGCGGCACTGAAGATCTCCAGCAGAGGTCAGGAGCACACCACCTGCCGGTAGAGGAGCTGCACACACACACACACACACACACACACACACACACACACACACACACACACACACACACACACACACACACACACACACACACACACACACACACACACACACATATGCAAAGGAGTAAAATCAGGATGTCAGAGCACAAGTATCTGAGTCAGATCATGACCCCAGTCAGAGATACCTCGCTTTTTACACTCGTCAACAACTGATCTCCCAGCAGCTTTGAGGATGGCTCCAGAAACACCTGTAAGGGAGAGGAGAGTCAGTGTGGAAATAAGACTGAGCACACTCTGATACTCTGGTGTGGTGTGAGCATCGCTGTAAGTGTACTGCTGTTCTTCTGCATGTACAGTATTGTGAAGACGTGGCTCTGCTGATCATCAGTGCAGAAACACTCACCTGTGTTCAGATCTAGAGTCTTGTTGGTCGAGTTCACTATAACATCCGCCGCCTCTTTGGTGATGTCGCCCTTCTTGAGGAGTATCGGCACACCATTGATCAGCACTGAAGATGTTCCCAATCATGCCAACACACAAGTACACACTGATTATTGACCCCTTCCCCTTCAGAACTCACGATAGAGTGACACTGACGCATGCAGTACCTCTCCTGTCTGATCCGCGTCTACGCTTCACAGGCTGTAGAGGAAATCCCTGAAACACACATCAGCAATGAGGACTGAGAGCATCTGATTAAAGACTCATTAGTGTGTTTGTAGAGCGGATTTAGTCTCGTATTTCACTGAATCACTGATATTGCTCCTGTTCATTACTTCGCAGACGCTGTGATTCTGTGTTGGATAGAGATAATGGTTTGTTTCCACCGCATGCTGAGACTCAGTTCAGTTCAGTATGATGCACAATTATTTCAGTTTCACTGTACGATGTTTGAATGGTTCCACAATTGTACTGTACCCCTTTCTGGGAGCCCTGTGTAAAGCTCTCTAGCAGAACTTCACAGTACAGCACTAAAGGGCGAAGCGAGACAGTGACGACATGCAGTAATACATCACGGTCCACCTAAACCGTGTTGTCTTCTGACAGACACAAGCAGAGAAGAGCTGGATCTGCTGTGTTTCTGCCAGGGTTTACTCGGTTTACTAGTCTCGTTGATAATGGTATAACAGTGATATAACGGAATACTGAGCTAGTGTGTGTGATATATGAACAGCCCACACGGTAATCTTCATGCAGGATCGACTTCCCTGACTCTGACTGTACTGTTGGCAGTGTAAACACAAGCCTGAACAACGTGACCCGTATCAAACCAAACTGAACTGAACTGAACCCAAACGGTGGAAATGAAGCCATCAGAGAAATAAAGCAGTGTAAAACAGAATTCATACCAGCTCCTGGATCCGTGTGTTGAACTCCTCCACCATCCTCTGGTCTGGAGCCACTATAGTGACGTTTCTAAGGTTTTTCAGGGGACTCTGAGAGATCTGCAGAACCGCGGCTCGGATCGCCATGCAGCTTTCTGTGACAGAAAACCCAAAGGTTCCACAGCCGACTGGCGGAAGGGCGATGGAGGAGCAGGAGTGTTCCTCTGCTTTCCGCAGACTGTTGCAGACGGCGGACTGAAGCCGCTGAGAGTCCTGAGGCTGACCCTTCTGCGGCAGCACAGCCAACAGCAGCATCCCGACACCGAGTCTCCCTGCGGAGCCGAGCAGCACGTCTCCAGGCTGAGGACTTTTCTGAGTTCCACACGTGTCTGCGATGGATTCGCCCCTGAAGTGGAGAACAGCCTGAGCGACGGGGTCACTGAAGCCCAGCTTGCTGTCCAGCGGGCAGAGTAAGGCGTCGGCCGCGAGGTGCTGCAGGGCTCCTTCAGTGATGCTCAGACTCATGCGTTTGCCTATTCTGTGTGTGAAGCTCAGTGGCGGTGCCGAGGCCGCTGGGGGTTTCTGTGATAAGAACAATCCACAGTGTCTTTCCTGTGCCTTCGTCCTCACAGCGCCCCGGTGTTTTTCCAGAATCTTTGCTTCTCCTGCTCTGCCATACTCGTGTTTCTCTACAATAATAGCCGCCAGCTGCTTCTGCACGACTTCGACAGCCTCCTGGATGTGCTGTTTGTCCGCCGTCACCTTAAGGCGAGGACCGTCTGCTGTTCTGTGGACGAGGACTGTGGCGCTGAGGCTCTGGAGCTCTGGGAGTTCAGACAGACGCAGACAGGCCTCCACAAACTCAGCCTCTCGCTCAGACCTCAGCAGGACGCTCTCGGTTATGGGCTCCCGCTGCTCCAGGTAACGCTTCACCTTTCCTGCAGCCTCAGCGACGGCATTGGAGAATCCGCAGATGGTGATCTGTGTGTCTGCGGTCGTGATGCTGACGCCGGGAGAGCTCTGCTTCTGTAGACTCCCGAGGAAGCGTGTCCATTTCTCATCACACTGACCTGAGGACAGCTGGATAACCTGCTCCTCCAGAATCTGCCTGATTCTGTCCTCGGTGGCCTGCAGGTGTTTCTTCTCCAGCACGAGCCCCAGACCGTCCTTGCAGTCCAGCAGTCGGGCCGGGGTGTGTTCGGGCAGGAGTTCTCCCTCCAGCTGTCGGAGCTCCACCGATTGTGTGAAGTGTTGGAGAGCAGCAGAAAGCATGATCCGGTGCGTGATGAAGCTCTGCTGAGCCTGTCTGATGAGCGTCTGTGCTGAATCCACGCTCTCCTTCAGTCCTCGGAGGGAAACCGTCTGCTGCTCCTCATCATAGGACAGATCCACCTGTGGCAGATCCCCCAGCAGGTGCTCGCAGATGAGCTCAAACGTCTCTCTGTTGTCCAGCCGGATCTGCACCGTGTTACTCTCCTGCTCCAGCTCTGCGGCTGCGTTCTCCACCAGCAGCCGGATCTGCTCTGAGAGGATCCTGACCTGGTCTTTTTCTCCAGCGATGGTGACTGCAGACCGGTTTTCACTGTATGAGAGTGCCATATCGGCTGTCTTGCAGCGGCGGCAGGCATCCTCTGCTCTCCTCCAGACCTCCATCTCCACGCTCAGCTCCGTGGTGTCAAATCGACTCAGGATGGCTTCTATTCCCCTGGAGGTGCGGGTCTTCCAGTAGGGGGCGATGTGCAGAGCCGCCAGTGTGTTTACACTAATGTTCATCTCCAGAGTTATCTCTCCGGCCGCCGCTCTGCTGTCCATCAGCACTTTAGCCTGCAGCCGCTACGCTTCGCTCTCCAGCTGTTTGCGATTGTGCTCGTCACTCTCCCAGAAGCGCAGCAGGTCTTCGCCGACAGGAATCTTCAGCTTCGTGCTGATCTCCGTCAGATTCGGTTTTTCTCCAGTTAAAGCCTTTTGCAGACTCGAGTAGAACAGGTAAGCCTGAACATCTGTGCCGCTAACACTGTGCTTTTGTTCCACCACTGCATACGCATCTGATAAAACATGATCAGTTGTGTTGAGTCAGTGATGCAGACATGTACATTCATATGCAGAGCTTCATCTACAGTGATAGCAGAGGGATGCATTAAAGGTTTACTTCCACCAAAAATGAAATTCTGTCATTAGTTCCTCTCCATCACCCAGCTCCAACAACACTTTTGTGCGCCAGAAGAAATGTAAACTGGCGTTTTTGTGCCACGTCTTTAACATCAGGTGTGTTTACTAAAATCTATATGCACCCAAGTAAAGTGTTGTTAGAGCTTGGACTGACCACAGCTGAACCCTGAAGACACTCATGGACAGCTGCAGCTACATGTAATCGCTTTCATCACTGATGAGCTCGACTGAGGTATTGAGCTGAACTGAATCAACACCGGACTGCCTACCGTCAGCGTTAGTGAAGGTGAGGACGGCGCTGTTCCTCCTGTTGATCCAGATGAAGGCTTGCGTTTCTCCTCCGCCGCTCCTCTTCTTGTTGTTAAAGTAAAGTGTGAGAATGTCTTCGCTGAGCGGCTCCAGATCTCCACGAAGCAGGACCGAATCAGTCCGCTCCATCCGCGTCACCCCGATGTCTCGCCCTTGGAGCTGCTTCGATGTGCATTTCTTCATGAATGAGTTCACATCTGTCCATAAAACAGAGAGATTCATGTGTTCATTATCCACAATCATCAACTCTCAGCATTTACTCACAGGTCCCAAACCTGTGTGAGTTTCTTTCCTCTGTTGAACACAAAGGGAGATATTCTGAGATCAGTTACGTCTTTTCTCCAGCATCCATCTTCTTCTGTGTTCAACAGAAACGAGAAAATCAGGTTAGAATCATTTGAGTGTGAGTAAATTAGGAAATCAGCATCTTTTGAGGAACTGTGCCTTTAATGTCCCCAGCTGATCAGACTTTTAAAGCTGCTGTATGTCAGTGTTGGACTCTCAGATATTCTGCTGTCAACATGTGTGTTATGTGCCGGAGCAGCTGTCTTTGTTTTGCTCTCTTTAACCCGCCCAATGCCAGTTTAGCCAATTATATTCCAGCACCGGGTTGCCAGATGGTGGAAAACAGCGTATTTCATTCATTCAGTCAGGAAGACTCTCACAGTGTGCGTCTGTGACTGAAATGCGCCCTCTGGTGGACAGCAGCAGACTCTGAAATGAGCCGCAGATTCAGAGTTCCACATGAGGTTATTAATGAGCAAATAATATAAACATTAGGAGTGTGAACATTAGCTGAGCAGGTCACACTGTAACCCCGTGTCCTGACAGCACACTACATGATGAGATGCGCAGTGATGAGCAGTTTGACTGTTTGCAGAAATGTAAACACAGACTTCAGCAGCACAGAACAGAGCACTCACTGCACTCCAGCACACGCTGAGCTTTATCATCTAATGAACACACATTACAGCTCTTGAACATGAGTAAATGTAGATGCTGAATCACTGATATGTGTTGGTTTGCTCTGAGTTTCAGCTCTGAAGTTCAGTTTCAGACGCTTTATTGTATTCTGCAGATCTGAGCTGAACTCTCTGCTGCTGCTGTCAGTACTGTGGAAATTAATATCATGTTAAATGGCATTCAGACTCGCATTATAACACTGAATAAAGCACATGAGCTGTAGCTGAGCTGATCAGTGTCAGTGTTCTGTTGATCATCTGTGAGTAATAGAAGCCGTTTCTAAATTCGAGGTGTTGGCTAGGACAAAAACTCCCGTTAATATGGGAATATTCCCTCTATCACGTGTCGTTGCTTTTAGTTATAACACGGTTTAAATCAGCCTTAAGGCTCGATAGTTAAGCACACTGCTGTTGGTGTTGTCAATCTGGCAACCTGCTCTTGCATCTGTTTTGAACCAGGAGTGCATTACCTAGTTCAACCACTGGTCATCAAACTGACACACTGCACCTTTAAAGCAAGCATTTCAGTAATGTTTTGCAGATATTTCAGGTTTGGTTAGTGTGTTGGCAGATTCAGAAAACAAAATGATTAAGTTTATAGACATGGAAGACAAGGACAGATAGCGAGTAGCAAGAAAAGCAGCGTCCCAGAACCGGAAGCTAAGCCAAACCCCAGAGCTGCAGAAACGGCGGCCGGCCAGCAGGGGGAGCTCTCTCTCTCTCTCTGGAACCCACCAATGTCCTGCCTGAAGCTGACCACGACCCGGCCCTCATCCAGCGGCTCCCAGCAGTGTGTGGTGGTTCTGCTGCAGCTGCCGATGAACACTGAGATCAGGTCACATTCGGTGGTGCCGTCAAACCCGCTCAGGATGAAGCGGTGCGGGTCCCAGGCCTCGGCTCGTTCAGATACGCTGTGCACGGCTACAGATAGACCAAACTGGTGCTCATCCCGGGACACAATCTCCTCCAGATCTGACAACAGGTTAATGTTCTGATGAAGCTGGATCATTGATTTTCTCTGTTGACTCTAATGATTCTTAGAAGCTGAATTTATAGGAGATACGACAGTTTCCTGAACCATGCTATAATACTGTATACACTACATTTTGTTAATGAATGCTCCAGCATACTGCATCATTACCTAGAGACAACTGATTATCTGTGATACATACTACATTACTTGGGATAAAGCAGATCCAGCAGGGTGTTCTCTGAGTAAAGGCTGACGGGTTCATCAGCAGCAGATGTAAAGCGCAGCACTGCTGTAGGAGACTGAAGAGTTTATTCTGAGAGAACAACCATCCTCTATATACCTTATCCTGATTATTACACATATACTGGCCACAACACAGAGACACTAGACACTGAACACTGATCTGAGCTCTAATAGTTCATTATTTCTTTAGTAAAACACAACGCTGACAGAAACTAACACAGCTGATGGAGTATACACTAACCTGAGCATAATTCACACACTAGATGGCACCAAACAGTCAAAAACAGCAGTGTGACGGATGAGCTTATAAATATAGGTGTACTCACTGATGATTAGAATTACCTGAATTTCAGAGCAAATTATCTTGAATTATAGTAAGTAACCAATCAGAATCCAGTATTCCAGTCAGCTGTATAATATTGTAGTATAATATACTCTGTATAGGGTCATCTGTTTATATTACTATAGTTGTCATGTTACCATAGTGACTGCAGAATCACCGCAACAGATCAATTACTATAGTTGTCATGTTACCATAGTGACTGTAGAATCACTGCAACAGATCAATTACTATAGTTGTCATGTTACCATAGCGACTGTAGAATCACTGCAACAGATCAATTACTATAGTTGTCATGTTACCATAGCGACTGTAGAATCACTGCAACAGATCAATTACTATAGTTGTCATGTTACCCTAGCGACTGTAGAATCACCGCAACAGATAAATTACTATAGTTGTCATGTTACCATAGCGACTGTAGAATCACCGCAACAGATCAATAACTATAGTTGTCATGTTACCGTAGCGACTGTAGAATCACTGCAATAGATCAATTACTATAGTTGTCATGTTACCATAGCGACTGTAGAATCACCGCAACAGATCAATTACTATAGTTGTCATGTTACCATAGCGACTGTAGAATCACCGCAACAGATCAATAACTATAGTTGTCATGTTACCGTAGCGATTGTAGAATCACTGCAATAGATCAATTACTATAGTTGTCATGTTACCGTAGCGATTGTAGAATCACTGCAATAGATCAATTACTATAGTTGTCATGTTACCATAGCGACTGTAGAATCCCCACAACAGATCAGTTAATGTAGTTGTGTTACCATAGCGACTGTAGAATCACCACAGCAGATCAATTACTACAGTCATGTTACCATAGCGACTGTAGAATCACCATAGCAGATCAATTACT